GTAGACAAGAGAAAAATAAAGGAATTAATACAGCTGAACTAGCTGGGATTTCTATCTGTCTCCGTGACGTTTCCATCACTTAGGCGGCAAGAAATTGTTTAGACCAGTATGCTTCAAAAAGGAACATTGCACAAAAAGTTATTAAGTGTTCCATGAAACAAACCAGTTTGGAAATACTGGGCAAATAGTTTATTGCTGGGCTCCTCAAATGTTTTTAATAGGGTAATGTGAGTATTTAAGAGTCTGTAGAGTATGTAGTATTTTCCAAGTGACTTATTTGACCATGGAGTTCTTTACGGGTCATAGAATAATAGTTTGGAAAACAGAGGTGTAGGCAATATCATATTTTAGTTTTTATAGATATGGTTCCTAAAGGGTGATTATGAAGTTTCCAGCATCTATATAATGTATTATTCCAAAGAGATCAGAGGTTGAAGAGGTGTTCACTTGATACTTTTATTCATGAGTTCAACAATCAGAATCAGGAGAATCCCGATTAAGCATGAAGTTGGGCAGAGCTGCTATTTATTTGGAAGACAGGAATGGAATTCAAAGGGCATTCAAAATAGAACTCTATCAAAATGAAATGAAGATCAATAGGAAGAAGAAAGATGTCTTACAGATAAATCTAAGCTTTGTAGAAAAATAAGATTTTTGATACACACACATATACAGTTTTAAAAGACCCAGAAAACACAATAGATCTTGAATAAAAGTGCAATGAATAAAAATAGCATCATCAAAGATATTACTTCTGCCTTAGCCAAGTTTGTTGTAGTGGAAAACACAGGGAAGTGCTATTGCTCCATTTTATAGAGTTGGGATCCTTTACTCTTTTCTCCTGCCTCCATATGTTCCATACAAATATTGCCTTGGAATTGCTCTGGAATGTAGGACTTCCAAAGCTGTTATTATTCCCATGAAGGTCCCAGTTTAGAGAATTCCTGAGTGAAGGGGTGGATATCCTTGAAGGGGGAATCTTGTAATTTCCTGGCTTAATGATGGTATCTTACTTTTCTGTTTAAAACCTGTGGTTACTGTGGGCAGGAACTGATCTTCCTATTCAAAAATTATCTGGCCTACTGGGGATTAGTTAAAAAATGAGATTATCTAGTGCAGGTGGCATTTCCAGGCCCCTGAAGGCTCCATGTTGAGGGACCAAAGGTTTTCAGCACTCCTTTTCTTATGTCTTAAGTGTTATATTATTGCATTACAATATGGTATATCCTAAGAGTCCCTATTACATAATTTACTCTGAAAGTACCAAGGAGAGTGGTATGTTCATGTGTGTGCATTAGTGTATGTAAGCAACACAAAGTGAGTATGAAATGAGAATCATTTGAATGTTATGAAGTCCTGTGCTTGGCCTGAAGAACCACATTAAAAATTAGAGGAATTTCAGGGCAGGCAATTATACAGGAGATGTGAAAATCTCATGAAATTAAAACTTTAGTTGATGATGTCTAACCTAGAGAAGAAAATGTGGTCAATATAATTCTTCCACTACTTAGAAGAAGAAAAAAACACACACCTTTTAAAAAGTAGAATGTTTTTGTTTGTTTGTTTGTTTTTTGTTTTTTTAAAGTAGAATGTTTTTTGAACACTTATTTTGTGACATGTGTTATGTTATGTGACAGGTCACATGCATTAGCTTATTCAATCCTCTCAAAATCCCCATGAGGCAAAAACTATTATTATTCACATGTACAGATGGGAAACTGAGTCGTACAGACATTAGCTTCCTTTTCCAGGCCAGTAAATACAACTAGTGAACGTAGGAACTGGGATTTGATCCCAGAACTGAGCTCCAAACCACTCCATTGCTTATTTCCACTAGTAGGTATTTTAAAGCATTCTGATGTGTCAGAAATCTATCTCAAGTTTTCCATTGAAAGACTTTTGTATTGCAAGATGATACCACTGCAGATAATCTTCTTATAGCTTTTATTTAATTTATGCCATGCTGTTGTTAAGTGCTGCCAAGTCAGTTCTTACTCATAGCAATCCTGTATAGAGCTTCTGAGAACCTGTTGGTGAGCTTGAACCACCGACTTTGCAGCTCAAATTGACCTGCGGTCCAGTGCTTATCCTATAGACCTACACCAGAACTCCATTGTGCCCATTTGTCACCTTCATATTTTAAGAGATGCGGAATAGTTAGAAAGTCAAGAGAAGATAAATAAAAATTAAGGAATGGATGGACAATAGGACCTACAAGGAAATTTTCAAGGAGTTATATTTCTTTGGTCACGGAGTGACTTGACAATCTTCAATATGCAAAGGAATGGGGTAAATAAGTTATTCCCAGAAAGAATATCACAATTTCTCATTTCTGTGAGAAAGGTTGGCTGGCACACACACACAAAAGTCTTCCCTGTGAAAGTGTCCTGAAAAACAGACTTTGAAATACTGTTAAGGTTAGAAAAGAACAGGGTCATACTGGGGTGGAAGCTAGTGCTTTCAACAGTAACACCCCAGCTTCCTCTCTGGAAGTCTGGGCAAGTTGTCCCTCTCTGAAGTGGGCCAAAATATCAGACAGTGTTTATGAATTCCACTCTTTTTCATTCCACCTCACTCATGAAGCAGCCAACCATAAATATAAAATCGGAACGATTTTCATTTTGGAAAGCATTTAAATGTGACAGTTGTGGTGATGCTTTTGTTGTTGTTAGGTGTCATTGAGTCCAATCTGACTCATAGCGACCCTATGCACAACACAACGAAGACACTGAGTGGTCCAATACCAGCCTCACAATTGTTATGCTTCAGCCCACTGCTGCTGCAAGTGTGTCAATCCATCTTGTTGGGGTTTTTCCTCTGTTTCACTGACCCTCCACTTAACCAAGCATGATGTCCTTCTCCAGGGACTGGTCCCTCCTGACAACATGTCCAAAGTAAGAGAGATGAAGTCTTGCCAACCACATTTCTAAGGAACATTTTGGCTGTACTTCTAAAACAGATTTGTTCATTCTTCTGAGAGTCCATGATACTTTACATATTTTTCTCCAACACCGTAATTCAAATGCATCGGTTCTTCTGAGGTATCCTTTATTCATTGTTCAATTTTCACATGCATATGAGGCATTGAAAATACTATGGCTTGGGTCAAGTGCATCTTATTCTTCAAACTGACATCTTTGCTCTTTAATACTTTAAAGAGGTCTTGTGCAATAGATCTGCCTAATGCAATACATCCATTGATACGTCCTTTGAGTGCTGCTTCCATGAACACTGATGGTGAGTCAAAGTAAAATGAAGTCTTTGACAACTTCAATCTTTCCCCCAGTTATCATGCAGCTATTGACTGGGCCAGCTGTGAAGATTTTTGTTTTCTTTATATTGAGGTATAATCGATACTGAAGACTGGAGTCTTTGATCTTCCTTAGTAAGTACTTCCTGTAGTCTTCACTTCCAGAAAGGAAGCTGTGTCATTTGCATATCACAGGTTGATGAGTTTTCCTCTAGTCCTAATGCTAAATTCTTCTTCATATAATCTATCTTCTACAATTATTTTCTCAGCATACAGATTGAATAAGTGATGAAAGGATGCAACCCTCACACATACTTTTCCTGATTTTAAACCATTCAATATCCCTTGTTCTGCTCTGACTGCCTCTTGGTCTACGTACAGGTTCATCTTGAGCACAACTAAGTGTTCTGCACTTCTCAATCGTCACAACATTATTCATAGTTTGTTATGATCCACAAAGTCGAATGTTTTTGCATAGTAAAAAAAAAAAAAATCCTGAATTCATGAGTTCCTGACCCTCAGCAATGGTGGAAAACCCACAGAGTCTCTGTTAATAAAACCACCTTGAAAACCAACATTTTTATTCAACAGAGCTTTAATGTATTAATTTTAGGAGCCAGACTGTCAGTTTTTTCTCTAACAGAAAGGAATGAATACCCTTAGAAAGTGGAGAGACTTTTTTTTTTTTAACCTATTGAAGGATTTTTTTTCTGCCTCATATAAATTTTATCATAATTCCATGCCCCTATACTTCATGGCTTGTTACTCGGTCCATTACTCTTACATTTAACTTGATAAGGTCTGGGTACCTGTGATATTAGCATTTAGGTTTTGGTTCCTCACAGCTGCTACTTTAAAATGTCTGATAACATTGTGAGCCTTGCATGGAGCTGGTGTCTCTCTAAGTTTTTATCCCTGCAGCCACACACTAACCTGTAGATTTTCTTATTTCTCACTAACTGGGTATATTCTCAGTCTTGTCCTTTCTTTAAAGAGACCAGACCTGGGGCTTTTGCAGATAGCTAATCAGTTCATGTGTGGAGTTGGACAATTTATTCTGGAAGTAATCCCTTTCTTCCTTAAATATGTCAGAGAATACTTTCCTGTGGATGTGGAGGCATTTTGGTGGGGCAAAGGAAGTGACAATGGGGCATCACAGGTGGTTCCTATAAACACAGGTGATGTCTGACTTTTTTCACATGCATACAAATAACCGCTATTCTTAATTAATGTGGTCCCCCCAGGTTTTCAGCCATGCTCTCTGAACAAAGGTAACCTCTACTGACTAAATTCCTGATAGACCTAGCTTCAGCTGCTTTAATTTGGAAAAGGCTGATTATTCCACTGTGCAAAATTAGGTCGTAGCTCAAATAGGAGAGGGGAATAACTTCTGGACAAAGCTTCTCTTGGGTTACCTGATATGAGTATGAGAATACAAAAATTCATAGAAATTCTAGATGTTTCTTCTGGGTAAAGTTAAGCTTGAGTTGAGAGTTTTAAAGGACTTTGTTATTTTAATAGGACATTAATTTTGAGAAGGAAAAAAATCACCTCCTGTCTCAACCAGTTAGACAAAAGAGAGCGTGCTAAACAGTGTTTGTAAGTGGCAAAATGGGGATGAGCAGTTTAGCTGCATTTTGAAGAGGAATGGGACAACCAACAAGAATGAAATTACAACTGCAAGTGAAGTCTAAAGGAATTCTCAGGTCATTGAGCATAAAACAAGGTGTTGCTGAGGAAGGTTACTCACAGGTATTTGCAGTGCCTTTGGGGATTGGGAGATACGAGCCTGGACTCCAAGGCCGGCCCTGATAATTCTTCTTGCACTTCCCACAGTCTGGACCTGTAGTGTTGTGCTCACATTCACATGTCAATTTGCTGTTGTCATACACACATACAGTGGCATGGAGGTTACACTTGCACCTAGGCAGAGAAGAGACAGAGAGTTCATGGTAAATCAAGTTGGCCTCATGACCACGGAGCTCTACAGGCATATCTCCTGGGGTTGTGGTTCTCACATGAGTAGAGCTTTGGTGCTATAGGGAAGCTTTTTGCAAAGTAGAACCTAAGAAGCCTTGGAGGTATAGTGGGTTACTCATTAGGGTGCTAACCTCAAGGTCAGCATTTTGAATCCACCAGCCTCTCCATGGGAGAACGATGAGACTTTCTGCTTCTGTAAAGATTTATAGCCTTGGAAACCTTATGCAGGGATGCTATGAGTCAGAACCGACTTGGCAGCAAACCTCCACCACCACCACCACTACCCTGAGAATCAGGATTTTCAACAAATGTCTCGGGGATTCTGATGCAGTCCAGCATCTCACCATACTTTGAGGAAATCTTAATACCAGTAGAGGCACCAGGGGCCTCGTGTATTTCAAAATTACAAAAAAAAATGAGTTTTCTAATAAAATATCACCATCTCTCAGTCACACAAATGGTGAAGCACTTACCTGCGAACCTACTTCTTAGAGAAGTCAGTTATTGAAAATTCTATGAGCATTGTTATGCTTTGACACACATGGGGTCACCACAAAGTGGAATCAACTCAACAGTAACTGGTAAGTCAGAGGTTTCTCAAGGATATTATCACATCTATGACAATTTCATCTGGGTGTAAAGGACAATGTCAGCTTGGTGTTTTGTTTTTTTTAATCTGAAGGTACCATTTTTATTTGTTTAAAAGAAAGATAACCATTAACACAATTTGTTCTTCAGACTAATTGTTAACAATTCAAGTGATTATAATCAGAGTGTTCTCATTAACTAGAATCAGAACAGTTTTTGAAACAAAGGTGAGACAGCAACCCTCCGACTTCCCATTCATGGCAGAGAAAGTCTCTCTGAAATGGTCCTAATGAGTCTGATGAAAGATGTTTAGAATCCTAGAAAATGAAAACCTGTGTGTGGCAGGGATTTGAGGTCATTAGCAAAGGCCTTGCCTCACTGCATGCCAATAGGCTATGATATATGAGATGTAACAATGGAATATGCAATTTCCACAAAAACACATCCCGCTCGCCAAAATCTTTGACTATAAAATTGCAAAGGCCAATTTGATATTTGTTGAGGCAGCAGGTTATAAATTGTACCACACCAAGCCCTGGCTGCATCCTCCTGAAGGTAAAACCTAAGTTGACAGAATGACCATGACCGGAGGTCAGAAAAATATATGTGGGCAGAGATGTTCCACACCAGGGAGAGAGCCTGGACACCCAGGCCACGGGACAAACCTCTGAGTCACAGTCTCACGGTGTGACCTATTCTATTTCTTTCTTTTTAAATGAGCACGAACGTTCCAGAAGTAGGACAAAGAAATCTTGTGGATTTATTTATTTATTTTTATTTTTTAATGTTTTATTGTGAACTATGTGATAGTTCACAGGGGAGAACATTAGCTTTACATTCATCCTATCAATATCGTTTCATTGCCATGGAAACCATCACCTCCAAGCATTATCAACCAACCAAAGGGTATACCCTACAAGCCTGCCCCCTGGACGTCAGCACACAGCTCCTCTCCCTCTCTGGGTCTAGAGTTCCCAGCCGCTCCATCTCTCCATGTCACCCTCTCTGCCTCCATCTCTGGCATCACTGTTTCTCTAGGTAGGGTCCTGCACTCCGCTCTTCTTCCTTGATGGTTCCAGGGACCTCCCATCCTGTACTGCAGTCAATCACTCCCTTCCTGTTACTACAAAATGTCCACCTTTACATTTCCAACCCTCACAGTCAGTTCTGATAGCAATTATTCACTATTGTAGTACCAGAGACCTATCCCCATCTCTTTTCATCAGCCTCGCCCTGACAGATTGGATACTACTCACTGGAGATTCTACCTTCCTCCATGCCCTCTGGATCTAGGTTCCCTCTTGAAAGCTTGTAAGCCAGTCACTTCTTGCCTTTGTAGTCCCCCCTCCCCATTTGGGGTAGCCAATGTCCAAGTTGTCCAGCCCTGTCTACTCTGTGTATGGAGGGGTTGGGAATGATCCTCACTGTAAAGATTTGTTCCCTCTTTTGAGCTACTACATCCATAGGTATAGGTCAAGTTCATCAAATTGTATCAGATTACTGTTTTTTTCCTCTTCTTTCTTCTTCTAGTTGAGCTCTGATCATCCAATCATTGAAGCCAGGTCAAGTGGGTATTATCTGCAAGTGTGGATGTTACTGTGCATATGCCCTCTCTTCTTATCAGCTGGATGCTTCACTCTCCACTCTAGTCCTCTGTGGCTATGTCACTGACTCTGGGCCCAAGAGTCCCCAGGTCTTGCCACATTGATGGCCAACCAGGTCTCCACCTGGGTTCACAGGCGTCTCTTGAACGTTGTAGGGCTTAGCTTGTAGCTTCATTGCTATTTTTCCCTCACTTCCCCTTATCGGTGATAAACATGGTCACCAATCAGAGCACATGTCTGCCTGTGTATTCCCATTGGGTCTTAGTCTTGGAAGGGGGCTTGCTCTGATGGGACCCTACCACTTGCCTTGATGTCTCCTGGGAGAGCAACTTGCTTGTTCTTGTCAGTCGGACCACCATTATTGTTTTGTATTTTTCCTGTTGGTCTTTCTTTCAAGGAGTATCTTTTGTTTTTCTAGCTGCTCCAGGCTGGTCTGCTTGTCCTTTCACGTGGAAATTTCCTACCTCTGAAGATTCTGGATGCTGTTCAGGATTCCATCTATGGTCTTATATAATGCAGAGGCTCCACAGGAAGCCTCCTTCACTGGGCACGTTGTAACCCCATTTTAGGTATTTCAATCAGTTATAGGCAAAAAACAGACTTACAAGTTTCTATGGTGATATTTCTGGCTATTCCTTTCTCTCCCTGTCAAGTGTCTACTTTATAATGGTATGCCAGGGAAACCAAGATTCAAAAGACAGCCAAGCATCTTAACATTAATTCCCCCCTTTTGCCCATTCCAACCATGTCTCAATCCCTATATCCCAGAGCCCTGTTGTTCCAAGGTTGTGCATATATCATTATTTACCTCTGTCCCACTTAGCCCATGCAAACCTGCCTAATTGTTTTCCCATCTGCCTTGTTCCTCCATTCCCCTCCCCCTTCTTGTGTAGTGTCCCCTCCCCCACCCAAGCACCCAAACTATCTTGTGTCTATTCCCTACCCTGTGCTTCACCTTCCCCTCCCTCCCTTAACCCCACCCCCTATGTCCTGGTAACCAGCAAAGAATCCCCACCTCCTTTAGTATGGGTTCTTTCCCTTAGTCTTTTACATTAGTGGTCCTATGCAGTTTTTCTCCTTTTGTAACTGACTAATTTCACTCAACATAATGTCCTCAAGGTTCATCCATGTTATGAGGTGGCTTACAGCTTCCTTGTTATTTTTCAAGGTAGCATAATATTCCATTATGTGTATGTACCAGTTTGTTTATCCATTCTTCAGCTGATGGGCACTTAAGCTGTCTCCATCTTTTTGCTATTGTAAACAGTGCTGTTATGAACATTGGTGTGAATATATCTACTCGTGTTATGGCTCATATATCTTGTGGGTAAATACCAAGTAGAGGAATAGCTGGATCATAAGGTATTTCTATTTTCAACCTTCTGAGGAAACACCATATTGCTTACCTGAGAGGTTGGACCATTTTGCAGTCCCACCAGCAATGCAGGAGTGTCTCAGTCTTTCCATATCCCTGCCAGCATTTACTGTCTTCTACTTTTTTGATCTTTGTTGTTATTGCTGGTGTGAGATGATATCTCATTGTTGTCTTGATTTACATCTCTCTAATGGCTAGTGATTGTGAACATTTCTTCATATGTTTGTTGGCTGCCTGGATCTCCTCCTTAGTGAAGTGTCTGTTCATGTCCTGTGCCCATTTTTTAATTGAGTTATTTGTTTTTTCTTGTAGAGGTGTTGTAGTTTCCTATATATTTTAAATCAGTCCCTTGTCTGATGTGTCCTTGCAAAAAATTTTTCCCATTCTGTTGGTTCCCTTTTTACTCTTCTGGTGAAGTCTTTTGATGCACATAAGTTTTTAATTTTTAATATGTCCCAATCATCTATTTTGTCTACTTTTGTTTGTATAGTTTTCAAAATGTTTGTAGTCTGTGTACTCCCTGAATTAGTGCCCTCACATTTGTCCCTGTTTTTTAATTGATGGCCTTCATAATTTTGGGATTTCCATTTAGATCTTTAATCCATGCTGAGTTGTTATTTATATAAGGCATGAGATAAAGGTCTTGTTTCAATTTTTTTAATATCACTTTCCAGTTCTGCCAGTACCATCTGTTGAAGAGACTATCCCCTCCCTGTGCAATATATTTAGGCACTTTGTCAAAAATCAGTTGACTGTATGTGGACGGGTTAATTCTTGGATTCTCGATTCTGTTCCATTGATCAATTTATCTTTCATTGTACCAGTACCCGGCTGTTTTGACCACTGTAGCCATGTAATAAAATTTGAGGTTGGGGAGTGAGAGGTTTCCAACCTTATTCTTCTTCTTAAGCAGTGCTTTGCTTATGCTGGGTCTCTTTCCTTTCCATGTAGTTAGTAATTGTTTTTTCCGTCTCTTTGAAGAATGTAGTTGGAATCTGGGTTGGGATTGCATTATACGTGTAAATTGTTTGGGGCAGTATAGACATTTTCGCAATGTTAAATCTTCCTGTGCAGAAGCATGGTACATTCTTCCATTTTTGTAGGTCTCTTTTGGTTTCTTGTAGTAGTGTTTTGTAGTTTTCTTTGCATAGGTCCGCGGATTTAGTTTTTGTAATCTCTTATTTGGTGGCAGGTGAGTCAGGAATTGTAACCAGATACTTCTACTTATATGGGAAATGAAATTCCTTAACAACTGAAATTGATTTCTATGATGCATATTTCTCTTTTGTATATCTGAGACTTGTTTGGAACACTGACCCATAATTAGGACAAGGAAGCAAAAGAATGGCTAAGACAAGGGTTCTTCTAAATACAAG